GGAGACATATACAGAATACGCTTTGTAGATGGTGATCTTCCAAACTGAAGATTTTGTCAAGGAACCAACTCAACCATAACACATGGTTCGTTCAATAGACAAGCTAGATCTGTTGATATCAGAATGAACATGAGCAACACAAAATTTAACAAACTTGATAAAATCGTAAAGAAAAAGAAAATAATAGGAATTTTCCATGCAAACTTATATGGAAAATCATCTCAGGTGCAAACCTGGTTTTTTAAATAGCTCTCGATGGTTTTGCCAGCCCTTTCAAAAATTTCAAGCAATAGCAGCGCAGATGTCATCAGATTCTGTTTTTCCTTGCAGCAACTCAATAACTTACCATTTTCACAATGAAATTCCAGTTTCACTTCAAGAGCACTCAGTTGTCCTAGCTCGAAAACGATGAACTCCCGGAGAGACATGCAATGATCTAGATTTCTACAATCCTTTTCATTCAATGAAGAGGAGTTCTTAACCAATGATGCAGAAGTAACCTTATCCCGGGCCACCAAAAGTAAGACAGCCAGCTCAACAAGCCTTCCATGCTTTGCATAGTAATAAATTTCTTCACCGAGTTCCTCTGTCTTCTCAGCGAGCAATCTCACGCATTCCAACTTTGATCTCTGATTTTAAAGGTATGCATAAACACTAGGAATTAGCCTCATAGCGAAACACGTTAAGATAAGAGGGAAAAATGCATATTCATTGCATCTAAATTAGGAACAAACCAGCTGTGGAAGGCAGAGAGTGATAAGCATCTTGTAAAGTGATTGTTCTGGAGTCAGAACGTTAAAATAAATCATGTATTTGCTGCAGTATATGAAATGGTTAAAACATGCATTAGATCATAGACAGTAGAAAAGAAGCCAAAACAGGGAGTATAATGCCATGACATGATCACTTAAAGAAACATAGATTAGGGATTTAATAAACAAGCACAATACAAGTAAATTGGTGTTTTGACTTTAATTAAATGCCAGGAATAAGACAACAACCTTAGCAAATGGAGTGAATAATTAAGAGGAAGCATCTGATCATGTTCTGATACACTATCCGTGAGCCTAACATCTGTTAGAGCTCCTTTTTCAAGGAATAATTTAACCAATTCAGGACAAGAAGCCAAAGTTGACAAACACAGTGGAGTCAAACCCATCTTATCAACTTCATAAAAATCAATGTGATGCACGACTGAGGTTATGCATTTCACAGAATGAAGGATAATGAAACTTCTTAAAGGTTCTATGGGAAATCTCCAAGATTTCCCATCTCGTGGGTCGGTTGGTGTCGTAAGCCTTTCTAAGAATCTATCTCGATCATCAGCGCGTCCGATTTGAACAATTACGCAATCCACACTTCCACAACTGGATGAGGGAGAACATCGTGTATGATCCTGAGAGAGAACAATTTAAGGATAACACCTATCAGTATCATTAAGCACAGCTTCTATGAGGAACACTATGCGCAAAGAAAATTGTGGCATACACACACATACAAATATGTGTGTGTAACACTTGATGTTTACAATACTAGTATAATATTGATTTCTCTCACTCGGATTATTTTTATATGAAACCCACCGTTGGGATAGAAAGATATTAGCATATAGAACATCATTCCAAAATTGCATAGTAATCAAAAATCGTTTTAACACTAAATCAAAATAAAACAAAAACAACATAATATTTAGTTCTAAAACTTATAAATGTAAGTCATGACTTATTGGCAAAACGATTGTGGATTACTATAAATTTTTGGGAGGATGATCTATGTACTGATATCTTTCAATCCAATGGTGGATTTCTGATTTCGTAAAAGAAATTCCGAGTGAGACATATCAATGTTGTAAAAGTGTTGTAACATACAAAGAGTTTTCATTTTATCCTTCCTTTATCACGTGACAAAGTTTGCTTTTTGACTCCACATAGTTCGAGAAAAGTCTTTAAGAGTAAAAAAGTGTTGTTGGAATCAACTTGTAAGAGAAAAATGTTGTAAGCCATGTACTTCTTTCTTTAAAAGGAAATAAGAGAAGTGTGAAGTTCATTTTGGAACGAATTAAAAAAGAAAGAAAGTGTGGATTTAATTGCATAACGAAGGGAGCATATGTGTTTCTATAGAGAGAGAGAGAAGGGTTGATAATACAACAATTTTTACAACAATCATATCTTTCACTTTGATTATTTTTTCCACCACATGATTGAAATCTATTGACAAATAGATCAAGCTCATAAAATTTTAGAACAATCAAAAATCATTTTATACCCCATCTACTAGAACAAAGTTAACACAATATCTAGTTCTAAATCCTATTAATATATAAGTGGTGTGATTTAATAAGAAATGATTTTAGATTCTTTTTTAAATTTTAAGATGATTAGTTGTGCTAATAACTTTCAACCCATGGTAGATTTTGAATTAAAATAAGCGAAGTGAAAGATAGGATTGTTGCACGAACGTGTCGTAATAATAACCCTCCATTTTTCAACTCTTCTACAGGAGGAACATCTCTCACTCGAAGTGTTTTTCTAAAAACCCACCATTTGATTAAAAGATAATGACGTGTAAATCATCTTCCTAGAATTTTATAAAACTCCAAAATAAATTCACCATTAAAACATAATTTAAAAAGTCAACATAATACTGTATTTCATGTTGGAACATGTGAAGTCTTCAAAAAATGTAAGAAGTTATACTCTGTATGAGTTTGCAAGAGGATGATTTTTGATTGCTATAAAATTTTAGTATCTTTTGATCCAACTGCGGGGTTTGTATGAAAACAATTGGATTGATAGGTATAAATACTGTAGAAATGTTGTATTACAGTAAGTATTCTCATTTTAGCCAGCCTTGGGTAGGGGCGCACACACACACGACCTCAACGCCCTAAATTGCTGCTAGTAATAATTAAATACTGTAATGGACTATTAACATGGCTACAACAACAACCTTGTCCCTACTCGAAAGTAGAGAGGGGGGACCTTGAGCTCAAACACCAACAGACAAACATGCTTTCAAAAAAACAAAAATATATAAAATTTTCAAACTCCAGACAATCAAAATCAAGGCTTTTCTTATTCTTTTTATTATCTCTCACCATCTGAAATCATTCCTTCCAAAGCTAGCTAAAAAACCATTTTTAAGGAGCTTAGCAGGGAGCAACTAACAATGAACAACCAAATCCCAGTAAAATTGGAGAAAGAAAGAAAGAAAAAAATACATGATTCTGCTTTTTTAAAAAGCAATAAACTTTTCAGCAGCCATTGATGGAGACCCAAAACAGGAAATTGAACAATTCAGTGAACAATCACACAAAAGATTCAAAACCCAGATGCCAAAATTCAATCTTTGCAAAGACAGATCCTGGACTATTAACATGGCTGTCCACAAATAAGTAAAAGAATGACTAATTCCTCCCATCCTTGTTTAGTTTTGAAACATAACACAACACCAGATGCCAAAATTCAATCTTTGCAAAGACAGATCCCGGACAATTAACATGGCTATCCACAAATAAAATTCCTCCAATCCTTGTTTAATTTTGAAACATAACAACAACAATGCAATAAAACAACTAAAGAAATAAAGAAACCTGAGACAAAAACCATACAATGATGAATTCTTCGGGCTCGTAAATAGAACTCTCTTCTTCATAACTTTCCAAATGATCATCTTCGTCGAATCTTTCCATTCAAAGATACAGCACAAATGAAATCATTAGAAGAAGAAAAGAAGAAGAAGATGATGATGATGATAAAATTATTGAATCAAAACCTCGCTAAAAAGGCTTTCAATTTCCCTAGAGCTTTTCTTTTGAGGGTGTGGGCGACGGAATTCAACATTGGAGCAGGTTTTTTGTTCGTACAAAGACTTGTTTTCCGGATCGAAGAGATCGATTGTTCGTGAATCAGAGAACGCTTAGGCGGTTGAAGTTGCCATCGCTTAATCCCTAGAGGCTAGAGACTATCTTAGTGGGCGATTTCCTATGGCTAGAGAACTAGAGAATGACGTACTCCCTCAGT